CCAGATGATTTTTTGTTAAAAGTCCTTATTCTATCGATAGGTTACAATTATATGATTATTTCAGCATATTTTTAGGTAGTCCATGATGGCAGAAACAGAGTTGACCTTTCGAGGCATATAATTGACACTTACTTCAAGAGACGCAAAATCCAAACGGAAATTACAATTTCGCAGTCGATAATTATGAGAAGATGTGAGAAAGAGATGAAAAACTCTATTTATGGCGCTGAAAATGTAAATTACAAGATGAAAAAAGTAAAATACAATTTTCAACTCGTAAATTATGATTTTAAACACATGATTTACGTTTTAATCTCGCAATTTATGAAAACTGGAGGTAACTCTCACAAAAAGTGAAAATGAGTAGATACACATGTGTCTTACGTATTTTTTATAATCTATTTATAGTTTATTTATAATTTATTTGTAATTTATTTATATATTATTTATGGATGCTCTCCATCACTCATGCATTCTTTTATTCTCCTCTTTTCCTGTGAAAATATAATGTTGACATATTTGCAGGTCTTCGTTTTATCGTCCTGTTTAATTCAACAAACCGATTGTTATTAAATACCCACGCACACTCCGGTATATATTGTTAAGTGTCCGCCCTCGAACTTCAAACCATATCCCATCTGAAAGATGCCAAAAAACGGTATGAGAAGAACGATCGTCTGGAAAAGAAATCGGATGCACGATTATTATACAGAGATCTTGAAAAAGTATGAATTAGTTATTAACTAATGAACCGTCCAAACCATTTTATTAGTTGTGTTGTGTGGCTTTCCTTGAACCCAACAATATTTTTCATATACTTTTCCATGGGGATTCCATTATTGTTTTGTAGAAATACGAATGATCGGTATCAGAAACTGAACAGTATAAGTTGCAAGCTCTCCTGTACTCGCTTATTACCTTCTGGTTTCACGTTTTAACGGAGGTCTCATATTACCTGAGTGAATCAAATAATCCAGAAATATTCCACCCTTGTACCAGATGCAGACATCGATCTTGGTAACTCGACCATATGCTTGTAGAGATGAGTCTTTCCACTGTGTTCAATTATGCAGGTAATGAGCTCCAAAATACTCCACCAAAGAGGTCTCTTGACACTCTTCCCTGAAATAGCGGATTGCCAGCGAAATTTCGAGCTGTCGGTTGAAATATCAAAAATTGTTACTGTTAGAAAATTATACTTGAAATTTCAAGTGAAATACCTTGAAGATATGACATTAGTCCTGAGTGCCGGAGTCATTTTACGAATAAATGATCTAAGGGATGATTCTCCCATTTTTTAAACTAGAGATGAACCTTTGTGGTGCTACTACATGAATTTCTATTTCATTTTTCAACGATAGATATATAAGAATCGGAAGAAACATTCAGATTCAGAGTCTGAGCTAGAATCAGAGAGATTATAAAATGAAAAGGTCCAATGTAATGTTTTTTTTGAAGCTTTCCCTTAGGTTATAAAAATATAAGAATTCCATGATGAGATTTCTCACGTCTCTTTTCATCATAAAATATTGCATAAAGTATAGGTTTATATTTCATATATATATAATTGTAGAATAAAAATAAAATAAATATATATAGATATATATATGTCGAATAAACCGGTTTCAAAAAACGTTACATTGAATTTTTTTTTAAAGGGATCCTTTTTTTTCATTTTAACTGAAAATCATTAGTATAATTTGGGGTCAGTGACAAAGGGTATTCCCCCTGGGATGTTCCGGGGTCAGTGTTCTGCGATCGATATCGCATGTAACAAATAAGAGGACATTGTCTGCCCTCGGTTTTATCATCCTCGCATGCACTCTGTCACGTCACTCAAATGTTCATAACAACCACTCGAAAATCTTCTACGCCATCAATTGCATTACCATCTATTATTCAAAAAATGCGTTTTTTCATATTCGTTTATACCCGTTACTTACCACATTATCTTTATCATTTATGATCATTGTTAGGAGGGCTGATAAAAAATGCATGTATGCTTCAGAATAGGGCAGTATTCCGTGTGAAAATAAGAGTTGATCGAATTGCGTACAAAAATTATTGCGAACAATCATGTTTCAAGTTGGAAAAAAAATGAATAAATAAATTAATAAATTAATAAATTAATAAATTAATAATAATAATAATAATAATAATAATAATAATAATAATAATAATAATAATAATAATAATAATAATAATAATAATAATAATAATAATATCGCAACAAATTGATTAATTTTATATTATTATTATTAATTGCTCTACTTAGGTTTTTAAAAAATCTGCACAGAAAATATACTTGAGGTGAATAATAAATTAGTATATTGAAGTGAAGCATAGTTTTTACTTGATTGTAATATATTCTATTTTCAACGTGGTCGATGATTTTTTACCACCCCTGTGTCGTTCACCTCGTGCCGAAAAGTGTCTTTACGTTTACTTGGAAACGAAAAAAGGCAGAGTTCGTCACTCAAACGTGAAATCACTGACAGAAAACTATCGGTCGACACATGTGCGATGGGGACTGCTCACTCATCGTGAAAACCCCGTCGTACTCGTATCGAAATATACTATTCATCAAGTATTCATTTATTCACGAGAAATATTGACGTTTCGCCTATTATGTTTCACCCGCCGAGTTATCTACTGTTATCAGATGATTCTGATTAGGTTTTTGATTATGACCTTCAGTAAACTCTTCCCATGATTATTAATTTCGAATTATCAAATTAAATGAATTTTTATTGAAAAAATTTCAATAGAGAATTCACTCAAAATCATAATTACCTCGATCATCATCGGGAGTGATATAATGATCGCGATATAAAAATCGTTTGAAAATTCTCGACTTGAGACGTTCCGTAATAATTAATATTGTTGGAATATAGCCTCAGTCTTCTATGAATTGATTTCTATGAGTCTATGATTTCAAAAATGAATCAACATAGAGAGAGATGTTCGCACTAAACATAAACATAAGCAATGAAGTCATTTGGCAAAGGGACAGAGGATTCTTTGTCTCGTGATGACGATTTTCTTTTGGTCTCGTTGACCACTTTAGTCTGCTGAGACAAGTCATAGAAAACAGACATTTCTTCCTCGTGCCATCTTTAATAAATTAAAATCAGCGTATTCAATCCACTGTATTTAAATCATTTCTCTGCCCCCACCATATTCAATGACATATATTTTTCTCGAGTAGCGGATACTTGGCAAAGAGATATATGTTTATATTAATCTTTCAAAAAATATAAATATGATATATTTATATTAATCTTTCAAAAAAATTCGTAAGAGAGTGATTTATCATTTTCACCCTATCAGTTTCGGTCGTGACTTCATAGATGAAAAGATAGAAAGGTAAAGGGAGAGATAAAGAGTGAGTGAAGTTGAAGTACGAGAGTAGTCTTATGTGGGTCGGAGGTATGAGCATCCGGAGAGTCTCGTTTTCCTGTGGTATAGCAGTCGACAGAGGCGTGTTTTACACAAGAGTATGTCACTGATGGTCCAGACGAGGGGATTACATTGCACCGGATGCCTCTGGGTTCGTGACACCCACGATGAAGTGAAAACAACGCACTGAAGAGAACATGCCAGATTTACCATTTGTTTTGTTACTCGGGTGGAGCAACGTACAATGTTTTATAATGATGGACATTCTAGAGGTAACGCTTAGATAATAAATATAAATTTTCACCTGTATCATTGGTCTTTATAAGAAAAATACTGTCGTATTTTTCACGGCGCTGGAATATTTATATCCTTAATAGAGATAGGATTTATTTTATCTCTTTAATCCTTCCATTTTCCTCATTTACTTCTGTTCATCATTTCATTACTGAGAAATAGCCTTTTATCAAAACCGTAAATCGAAGGATAAAAGTCTCAACGACTTGAATTATTCACGGAAAATAAAATACACTTCGATCCCGTATATTCTGTTTTCAATGACATATCGATGAAAAGTCGATTCTCCCCTCATTCTAGTATCTGAAATAATAAAATAATATCGCATTATATCGATTGTAGAACACATCAGATTCACGTAGATTTCTCTTCCGACTTTTATACTTCACTAATAAAATTTGAAATAAAATGTCAGATCACACACATAATGGAAAATAAATAAATTGTGATGATTTTTAATTTTTTCAGTTTTGTTGAAAGATTAACTGGGATTCGATGTTTTGATGCACTCAAATAGACTAGGCTGGACTGTACATATATCATTTTGATGAGAATTCATCACTCTTCCACATGGTACATGATAAATATAAAAATACCATTTAAAAATATTTAAAAAATGACACTTTTTGATATTTATCGATGCTCTACACTTGGCTTACGAGGACATGTCACAGGTCAATTCGTAGATCTTATCCAAATCTTAAAATTGATATCTCATTATAACCATGCGATCCAATAGATCAATAGCTATGAGCCACAATATAGACATTTTAGCATATCAGCTTTTGAAAATGGTCATCTTTTTCTCAGAGTAGTCAGATTTGTTCGGTTTATGTTTAAATATAGCACAGCAATTTTGTGCTTCGATGAAAATACATTGAATTATCATGAAACTGACTCAAAACTATTTGGTTCTGAAAACTTGTCGTTTTTGCAAGAGAAATCTCAACAGAGAATTGTGAAATAACCACTCGCCAAGAATACAAGTTATATCCTTGCACAACAAACCAACAATAAACAAATTGATAATAATATATCAATTAGTCGACCAGAAGTTGATAGCAAAAAGCAGTTGCGATGAAAATATTTGCTGATTCATGGTATGCAATGGCTACTCAACTCCTCAACTCTCCAAAGCGGAAAGTATTAACATCAACTTTCTATTATTTTATTGATATCAGGCATAACAAAGAAGGATAATTAACCATTGAAAACTATAAATTATATTTTTCACGGTGAATTTTATTTTTATCAATGAATACTACAAACCAATGTAAAAGGCCTTTAATATTTTAATTTTTTCATCTTTATGCAGATTCACATAGAGGAGGTATACGATCAACTGGAACGCATTTACGTTGATAGCAAACCTGCAAATAGATTACTATAAGAATCAGAACAAATTAGACTTAAATCAGGAGAAACTTACCGAAATGTTATTGGGGTCTGACGAATTACATATCAATCCATTCCGGGCGGGAGTGACAATACCGTTAGTAATTGCTACATCATCCATTAACTTACAATATCGTTTCATTTCCTCAGGTAATAAACCTTCCACACAATAATTGTATTCTGCCTTGACGCCATCACTGCATATCATGCCATCTTCGCAGGACACACGCTGAAGAACACATCATAACACTTAAGCAGACGGTAGAGAAATGAAAAAAACCATTTTATAGTACATTACTTACCCCAGCTACAATTTTTCCGTTTTTTTTACAAACTTGTGAAGGGTAGATGATGCAACTTATCTCGTCTGTAAAACTAGGTGGTCGATTCCCACAATTGGGGTTCGTTTGAGGGCAACTCTGGAGACACCGACTCTTCCGGTTACTGAATCCAAAAAAGATACCATCATTAACACATTTGGAATTAGAATTGATTTAGGTATTGCATAATGAATAAACATTGGTATCAGAATAAGAATATTCAATAACCTTACGATTGTTTACCTGAAATAATTCTGCATCGAGCTTTTTGCGCAGGACGACCACACAAAATTTTCCATTGTTCCTGTTACAAACGCTCCCATAACGCCCAAGTTTTGTTTACAATCGGTATCCTCATCATGATCAACTGAAAGTCTATGCATAAACATGAATATTTTTATTAGTTCATGCTGAAACTCACAGAAATAGCTCCAATACTTACAGATGTCCGAGTTCATGAGTAGCCACCAAGTAATGATCTAAGTTGTTTCGAATTATAGCCACTTGAGATGATCTGGCTCCGCAGGCAACACCGAGGTTGGCCAATCCTATAATTTATAAACAATCATCGATAATGTTATACTGCTGTACGATCAAAACGTGTTATTTACCCAAGATACCGAAGGTCGCATCCAGGCCGATTCTGTAAATTAATTAAAATGATGAGTGAATTCCGTTTAGATCGGATAAGTGATTGATCGGGGAAAAGTCCTCACCCAACAAAACTGAACATGAAGTCATAATTCTCGGCAGTAAATACATCCGAGTGATTGCGGAAGTGCTCTCCTTGTCGCTTCAATGCTATGTGACCGTCTACGTACGGCTGATTGTTCCAATACCTACGTTGTGCCAGCCACGGTCTAGTCAAATGATTCTAAAGTCATAATACGACAAATAGATTAGCCGGAACATTTCTTAAACTGCCCTGATAAAAAAACTGATTCAAATCAAGTTATTTAATCTGCGCTAATCCGAATTTCTCATCTGATTCAAGTTGAAGACTTGACTTCGTTTGTTTCAAGAAAAAGTTTAAATGTCTAGTATAGGTCCACCAAAGCAATAAATGTCCTGATCAAGGTTCTGAACACAATTTTTGGGGGAACAAATAGTTTGGGAGATATGATTTTTTGTAAAGCGTTCTTCGTGTCACAATAAAAACTCCCTATGTGTCCACGTTCCGGGGTCTGAATTCCTGGAAGGACAGTTAGAGAGTTACCCTCCCTCCGACTTCGAGAGAGTGAGGGCGCTGAAAATTGAAACAGATAGACGTAGGTACACTAGTGGGAGAAGAGCAAATGATTTTCGCATGGCAAACCGTTTGTCAGCCAGATGAACTCCACTGGGAAGATTTGTGGCGCACAAGAGAGAGAAAGGATAATATTAAAAAAGAATGTTGAGAGGAGAAAATGTTGGAGTGGGGGAACGATTCTCCTCACGCGATGATGCGTTGGACATAGGGAGTTTTCACTGTAACCAGGACTACGATGAGGACGTGGCTGTGTTATTAGTCTCAAAGACAACACATGTCAGTACACTGATAGACAATCCTAAACAGATTCCTCTGTCCCGTGTCCTCTGATGAGTGGTATTCCTGCGCTGCCCTCTACAGCTATCCAATTTAAATAATTTTGAATATTATCTACTTACTCATCATGTCGAAAATGAGAGACGATGGGGTCTGACGTATTTCTGGAGCACCTGAGGAACCTGCAGAGAACTACCTTCAGATGTAAAATAATATCCCCCTATTCTCCTATCTCCCCCCTCGCGAACTAATCCAGTCTCGTGAATAACAAGGGGCTAACTTTGAGTTAATCAGAGAAATGAAGATTTCAATGATAATTATTTGTAATGGACCTATGCTGGATATTTACTGGAGAAACCTCTCAACCAAGATGAGTTTGAATCAAGTTAAAGAAACGAATTAGACTGATATATCAATTTTCATCTTTCTGAGTCAAGTGATTCATATTGAGGAGTCGAAGTTAATCGATTTCCTTATGATTCAGATGAACTCGGTTCAACTACTTTTTTTGTACGATAAGATTAATAAAAAATTTGCATTTACCAGAGGTACAATGAGTCCAGCGACATTGATTTTCACCTGCGGATGTGTAAGTTCACTATACATCATATCTACCGCATTCCAATATGCCAACATTCGTATTAGAGCTTCCGGTATAAGCTGGCTATAAATATTGAAAATAATAATAATTTGTATAAAGCATATGTACCAGTTAATCAAAAGATATTTACACCGATTCGGGTATCTCCATGTGGATCAATATCTGAGGATAAACCGTTGTAGGTAGATCATCTCCATCGGCTTCTCGTTTTCCTCTGTTCCCTAATGGCACACCTAGACGAAATAAAAGTCAATATCGCGAAAGTACGTCCCTCATTGAGAAAAAATAAATCTTACTTAAAGTTCGAGGCTGGCCAAATTCTGTTATTGGGACTAACTTATAGGTAGTTTTGTGCTTGATTTTCCGAAACTGATTCCTAAGATCCGGTTCAAACCGATGATAGTCAACAAAACCTTCCTAAAATCCAAATAATCGCCATTTTATTTTCATTCTGTATTCCGATTTTTCACTGAAAAAAAAACGTCGATTGAACGCGTACACTGAGAAAAACATTTTCTTTAGCTAGGAATATTTACTAACCACAAGAAAATATATTCGGCATTAGTAAGTCTTATGGGAATATTTACACAGTGATCGCCAGATTTACTGGTGGGAAGAAAATTCTCTTGGCAAAAATAATTTTTTTCTTAGTGTACGTTCTTATATAGCGGCCAACTTGATTACTGAATGAATCCTTGCACAAAATTCCTAATTTATAACACTAATCGTTCATTTATTCTTCATAAATTCTAGTCGCTATCTATTTTACACTTGAATCAATTCTGCGGGTACCCGAATCAAGTGGATGCAGGTTTGAATCCCGCTAGGACAACAAAGGAACACGAAAACTATATTCGAATGTGTTTCTACTTCTATCAAGAAGGATTGAGCTACTAGCTCGAGTCATTTCACATTTGAATCCACGAAATCAAGATTGAATGATGATCAATCATTAACTGCTTGATCGACGGTTTTATTTCAGTGCATATCTGAATAAAAATTTAACGAGACTTATCTTTCATTAATGACTATTCAAAATAGTGATAGCTTTCGTAGTGATTATCGAGTAAGAAAATTTATACTTGCCATTCTCATTTTATCGTGGAAAACGATAACTGCAGCTCGTGTTTTCAACTCCTGGTAAAAGCTAAATTTTCCCAACGTGTTCAGGCCCTGCGAAAAAATTAATGATATGAAAAGTTTTTGCACACAGCACTTTTTGCTTATCTGATAAGGCAAATGGAATAAGAGTGTCAAGAATATTTTGATAGAAAATAGATCGTCTGGCGTGTAGATAGCATGACATCACAGAAGTGTGATATTTTTCTAGTACGAGAAACCGTATCGCACGCCAGGGCGCGGGTATGAAACGATTTCTGTAAAAGAGTTACGACTTTGTAATTTCGCGCCACTTTAGGTGGACCAATAAGGAATCGTGGCTTCATGATTTCGAGATTTTCGAGATAATCGATTGTATCAAGCCCCTTTATCGATTGTATCGAGTCCCTTTTATAATAGGAACGCATCCTTTTCAATTAAATTTCCGAATGCCGCACGTTAAATGTCGAAACAATAATGCTGCATCTCTACAAAGTAATTAATAATACAAATTTTAGTAGATTAACGAGTCAGTTATGGAGATCAGAGGAAACAGTCTGAAATATCTTTAATTTCCCTGCGTTCGTGACGTTTGAATCAACTCTCTGCAAATAATATCATTGTGATGTGATTAACTGATTCCATATTGATTTAGTCCGTGTTAAAAAATCATTAGACGATTGATTAATGATATTTCTACTAATCATTATCTCAGGATTAATGAATGCCAAGATTAATGAGCTGCCAAAAAATGCACGCTATCAATAATAGAGGATCCCCGATGATTCCTCAAGATTATTGGGTAGGACTCAGTGAATTAGAATTAGATGCACTGATGAAACTTACACCTTGACGTGTATAGGAAATTCTCCTGGAATTGCGTGCACGTACAGCGTACCATACAGGAGTATCTCCATTGGCCAGAAATCCATCAGTTAGCTTTAAATTCAAATGTTTAATGGATCCATCACTGAAGGGTATCGAAAGTTGCAACGAATCGCTGATATCGCGTTTACTTCTACCATCAGGAAAAGTTATCTCTACTATCCCGTACGTAGGTGCTGCAATGTGATTAAATTGAGGATTAAATGAACCAGTGGATATAATTGCGATGGTACTGTACCAGAATTATTCTTTGTCCCGAAGATATCGATGATTTCATCGTCTGTCAATCGATCTCGCCCCACAAGACAATAACTCGGCCTGCAGAAGCAGCAAAATAAAATAACAATTATCTTCTTCATCTTCAGATCGATAACTAGAACTTGTCCGTTAACAGTGCAGATAGACTGAATTATTCACAGTTTATATACCCGAAGAAAACACATCTGATGTTTTGTGATTAATCTAATATTGAATGGGAATACATAAATTCTTCGCCGATACTTCATTCAGAATTCGGGACAAAGATAATGTCAAGATAATGTCAAAAATTGTGCCAATATAAGTGACTTGCGTCATTAAACGCATGTGGTTCCTCAATGCCTCAGTCAAGACAACTTCTTACCGCTCATCTCTCATCATAATTATGTGTCTGAGAGTCGTTACATGACACCCGAATGTACGTAGCAAACAGGATTTACAATTTCTACAGAATTTTTTCGGACGTTCCATATCAGTTCCTTTCTTATGATTATCCTTTCTAATTGTTACATATGAAGTGTATGACCCTGCACACAGATAACTAGTCTACACGGAGAGAAATATTTAATAAAAATTACGGAACTTTCAGTTCACTTACCGATTAGGGAGTTGATTCGAAAAATTTAAGTGACGGTATCGTTATTTTTCACCGATAATTCAGATAAAAATTACGGAACACCGCGGAAAAATTCCGTGATTTTAGATAAAAATTACGTGACAGTTCCGTAAAATTTCCGACAACCACATTTCGCTCCAGAATTACGGAAAATACACGTAATTTTTATTGAATATTTCTCTCAGTGTTGGATTCCTATTAAAATAAATGTGAAGATAATAGAAATTAGATATCAGAATCTGAAACCTTCAGAATTGAAATTTGATTCGAGTAATGACGATAATTATCATCTTTAATTAATAATAATTCGTAAACGTGAAGAGTCTCATGTCTCTACACTCACTAATTTGTCCTCACGTATGATTGACAGATGTCATCGTCTCCCTGTCATCGTCTCGTGATTTGAATTATATAAAGAGATGACCCATCAAATAATCAATAATTAATCATTATTAATAAACAATTATTTACCGAGATATCACAATAATTTTATTATTTTTATTGAATACTCAACCATTTGAATTCTATTCCTATTAAAACGGTGACGTTAGCATCAGAAAATTATTAAATTATCAACTAGGAGTTTACGAATTCATTGTCTCACAGCCCCAGTCGATGTAAATGCAATTTTATTTCTTATTTTTCATTGAATTGTTCGTCACTGTCTATACCTTTCCTCATTAAGTATATCAATCAATCTAATCGAGAGATTGTCAGAACGATTGAAATAGATCACACAATATTAATGATCAATTCGTTTAAAATTTGGTCATCCATTAATTACGAAATCACAATTGTCAAAAGAAATCAGTGCCAGTGAGAATGTCTATCCTTTTGATTTCTGGACAATAAAAATCATACAAAACACCTGAAAAATTGCTTTCCTGTATGAAATTAATGACATAATAATTCTATTCATGGCAGACATATCTTATCAGCTAATGTCTGGTGTCTAGGTGAAATAGTTTGATCGATGAAGAGCCCGTGGTGAATGGTTAATGTACTTCATTCAATAAATTGATCGACTTATGCAATCATTCGAGGAATCTATGAATATTTTGTAATACCCATCTGTTGATTCTTAATCTGTGAACATGATGAGTAGTACCTCGAAAATCTGTTTATACAAGGGAGATAGAACAGATTTATAACCCAGATATTGTTATGAGTCTGATGCAACGATGCGAGTCCCATAATACCAGATACAAAAGCTCGTGCAGTGCATGTGGAAAACGGTAGCAATACCTTCAACTTTGATCATACCCGAGGATAAAACGTGTCGAAACCCATGAATGCCTAGCGCATATACTGGGGTACCTTTTGTGGAGATTGTACTACGGATTAACTTTATGATGAGATCCAGTTCTTTCTCATGTACATTTTTAGTGTTGACAGAATCCAATAAAAGGGAATTGGAAATCCAGGCGCGATAACTATACTCCAGTCAAAAAATACTATAAATTTTTCACTGTCATTCCTATTTTATTATTCATTTCCCCGGCATCCGTGAAAGACAAAGAATTAAAATATATAATTCTTTCTAGGTATTATGGATTATAGTACGGACTATCTGTTGAAAAATCCTGAAGTCTAAAGATTTCCTGCGAACCTCGTAGTGAAATTCATGGTAAAAACGTGAGGATAAAATGGTTAAGCAGAGGCAATATCCTAGAATCAAATTGTGAAAAAAATATGTTTCAAGGAAGAGGTGGAATTTCTAAAAAAATGAAATTCAATACGTACCCACACGATTGTGCACTCGGAGTTTGAGAGTTCAACGAACTGAAAAATGAAAATAAGACCTTCACCCTTGGAGAAATTTGTCGTCAGTCCCTCGACAAGATTCGTAAACGTTGTGACAGTCTAGAAGGAAAGTGAACTTTCTACAGAATTGAGAATAAGAAATAACGAAAAATAATAGTCCGATAAAAAGTACGGAGTATCCAGTTAAAAGTACCGAAAGCTCTATAAAAAATATGTACTTTTTACCGGACGTTCTACAATTTTTATCGGATCCTTACTCGGACCGGCAAATTACGGAACGTTCACGTAATTTTTATTAAATTTTTTCACGTCGAGTTTCTTCGAAGGAAAAACTGGTAAAATGGACTCTTAGTGGGTATGCACCAAAGAGGATTGGCGGAAGTC